CCACATGTCTAGAGTACTCGTGTGTAATGCTTGCCTTTGATGTTTTTATGTGTTAAATTCATTTTGTTTGATTGCGTCTGGCTCAACTACACTAATTGACACATTGACATTCTTCATTTTAGTACGAAAAGCAAGGTCAGACTACATATATTTGTTTTGTCTAAATATACTTATGTTTTATTTTATTATATTATTTTAGTACTAACCATATAAGATAAGTCATTGTAGTTATTATATTGGATAATATATAATAGGGGACATGTACACTGTTCAACACAATCTCTTATTATTTATATAAATGTCAATTTATCCATTGTTAAATATTATCTCAATATAATAGTCATGTAATGTATAATTAGATACAATAAACTAAAAAGATCACTAACAATATCCCTGGATTGGGAGTACTATCAGTGACCTAGTAGCAGAGCCTAGCGAGAATAGTACTCGTTGACGGAGTTATTAGGATTTGATTAAAAAAAAAAACAAATGTTAATAAAAATGAGGGAAAAGTATGGAGAAAAAAACAACATAGGTCATGTATTATATAATAATATTTTAATGATTTAAGATTTTTATACATATATCATTTAAGAATATATATTCATAAAAAAGAAGAAAGGAAAGGGAGAAGAACATAAAGAAGGGGCTATTAGACAATATGAAGGAGTATAAAGGGGGTTTTATTTATACTTGTTGTTGATTGATTTGTTGAGAAGTGATGGCTCACTACTGGCCATAGTTTGGGTCTCACATCATCATAGACATCTCGAAGTTTTATTTTACAAAAAAATATGAACAGCTTGGTTGACGGCAAGTCAACTCAATGTAGTATTTTAATTAAAAAATGTGGAGGACAAAAAAAAACAGCAACAAAGAAAACGTGGTTTTCACCATAGGAAAAAAGTGCACATACGAATCAAATAGTCGCCTCGGTAGTAAAGCTGAGAAGTCCCGTCGTCTGCAGTGACCGGGGGTTATGACGTCGGGTGGTGGTGCCAACTTTGAACAAGTTCATTAAGGGGAAATACAAGAAATTGGTACAAGTGTACAGTGTACGGTCAGCTGATGACAATAGGAAGACAGATATCAGACCGGTTGACTGGTGGAAGTTATCACATACACAACTATCAATACTTTACACCTAATGCACACACCACTAACTGATAAGATTTAAAATAAGAAAACTAGTATAAATTTTGCAACATTACAGCTTTCAGACACCAGTTCGCTTTTGCCGAATTCAAATAAGAAAATAATTGTTAGCCACGACCCCGTGTTCTTGTTGGCTATCTTTTTATGCGTCTTGCTTACATATATACGAAAATAATTTGTTTTGACTTATTATTATGTGACAAATTACGAATTTGATACCTCTATATATCAGAAGGATTGTCGAAATGTCTTTGATGTACAATTTGAACAACAATTCATTGTTGCGAAAAAAAAAAGTAAGTTTATGTTATTCCAATTATTTATAGTTAATAAGTTTGAGTAAAGGATGACAAAGCAATAGATCATTCATTAAATTAGTATCTTAAAGTGTTAATTTTGATTGGTTGGTTAAAATATTATACAAAATAACGTTATATGGTATTCGTGAACTGGTTCCGCCGTGTCGTTGCCTTAAAGATGTTTTAAAAAAACCTAACGTGATTTCTACTGTATAAATTAGGCTCTGGTATTCTTGGGCTAACTCTGCCGTGCAGTTGCCCAGATATTCGTGAACTGGCTCTCCGTTTCGTTGCCTTTTAGGTAGGACAATAGAAACTAACCATACAAAAATTTGTTACACCACAATTAAAGGTACTACTTTTATTATTTTTATATCTACTTGTCTTTGTCGTTCTAAATCCTCAGACTCCATACGACCCCGATAGAACCATTTGTAACGTCACAAATTCGAAGGTGGACCATTTATGATTTTTGTTTTGTTACTTATTTATTTTATCGCGCGAAAGAACCCTTTCCTGGCACAGCGGTGTCAAACACTCATTATTTTGCCGCTGACCGCTAGATAAGGCGATAAAAGAGAAATATAATTAAAATCAAANTGTTTTGTTACTTATTTATTTTATCGCGCGAAAGAACCCTTTCTTGGCACAGCGGTGTCAAACACTCATTATTTTGCCGCTGACCGCTAGATAAGGCGATAAAAGAGAAATATAATTAAAATCAAATTGTTTATCAGTATTGATCCCTTCCATAAAGACTGACCGTTATCGATTTGAAATTGCCGTTAGATCGGTGTTGGCTCTTCTCCATTTCTTCTTCTGTCATTGATCGTGCTAGAGTGCACACGTTTATTGTTTTTTGGTCATTTTTTTTGAATGATGGAGTAGAGCCGCCAACGGCGAAAGGCCAGGTCTTTTCGGCGAAGCATCCAGTCCATCGAATGGGTCTCTTCGGAGACCAGGTATCGTTTCCTTTTATATATTATATTTATGTAATGAGCTATATTTTATTTCATTTTTACTTTATCGTAAATTAATTTAATTTTGTTTATGTGTGAAGAGCACGTGTTTCTCTTTTCTTTTAGCCAACGCTAAGGAGAAAATTTCCAGACCACTCCTGGTGTTTTTCATTAATTTCCGATTAACATTAACGGATTTGTTCCAATACCGTTCGTGATGTTTGTAATATTATTTGTTTTTTTGTTTAAATATTTTATTTTATTTTTGTTTCCTTTATTTGTAGACATGGTTTTTGATGCATTCGCATTTTTGTCCATGTTTAACTTAATTTTCTTTTTTTTAACAATTACATTAAATTTCCTTATTAATTTCAACTGTAATATTTATTTTATTGTGCGAGTAACTTAATTACTCGCGTGTATTTTATTCCTGTTCCTTAATCTAGACACGGGTTACGGTATGTTTTACATATCAACCACATACAACTTTGATTGTCATAATTGTGTTTAATAAACCACAAGGTATTATAGTAATTCATACATATAACGACATATTAAGTTAGATTATACTTTTAATTAACTTAAAATTAAATTCCACCTATGGTCCGGTAATCATATCTGATAGGTGTGACACCTCGCCTAGGTGGTGGCGACCCTTGCTACTCTAGAGCTAGTCATTATGCAAGTGGCAAACCATGTTGTTGTTACAGGCCGAATTAAAAAAGCCCACTTGTAAGGTACTGCTTTTATTATTTTTATATCTACTTGTCTTTGTCGTTCTAAACCCTCGGACTCCATACGACCCCTATAGAACCACAACATCAGGTTCTCACCATATACAGTCCAATTTGACTTTCATCATTATGATATTTTTATTTTGTTATTTGAATTATAGCAATTTACATTTTTGTACACTACATATTATATATGTATTGTATATTTGCTAACTTGATCATTGTAAATATACATCTTATCTTAAAATAAAAATCAATTAATTTCAATGTAACACAATATTCATAAATTAATATTCACTATATAAGGTGATAAATAAGTATAAATGATAACTGACTTATGTCGTAACACAATAAGAGGGAAGATGTAAATGTAATGTGTATGATGATGAAGATGAGGATGTGGTGCCTGCTGTCTTGGTATTCACGTGCGTGTTGTCGTACAGCAGACACTGTGCTCGGCTGACATTCCGGATTAACTGTAGGTGTCGAAAGGCTGAGGTTAAAGGAAGGAAATAAGGGTAACACCTAAGTATGAGGTGCGGACGAAGTGCAAGACACAAGTACTTCAAAGAGAGAACAGGGTAGCCGAGTATAAGGTGCAGACAAAGTTCAAGACACAAGTACTCTGAAATGTTGTGGAAGAGAGTAGATAGGTTTAAAAAGAAAAAATCAAGACTTTACTTTAAGCAGTAAGCCGGACAGCGACAACTGAGTACTGAGACTGATGAATGACACAAGGCACTGGAGTCAACTGACCACGATGGTCAGGTCTTTTGGGTTTTTATAATAATTTGAACTATTGCCAATTTGGCAATAAATATTATTTGTTAATTCAACAGTCTCAGGAAGCGGATGTGCTGTTTGTAGTTTATTAAAATAATTCTCACAATAATGGTAACGTGACACCATCACACTTAAGTTTTTAATGAATTTTTATATACAAAATATATCAAAAATAAAGCTTATTGTTATTTGTATTATTCTTATTAATTGCATTGTTTTTTCACACATAGACCAACAGAATCGTTCCAACGACAGCTGTAAATTTTTATGAGTAATTACAAAAATAAATTATTTTCTCTTTTATATGGTATTAAAATTTCATAAATATATTTCCCTGTGAAAGGGGATAAAAATACTTCCACGGCCCCTCACCAGTCGTAAGAAGTTATTAATAAAGTGTGTCAGGTTGACAGCCAATGTAAAATTTTGTCAAAAAGTCTGAGGAGCTCTGAACAGAATTTAAGCGGATTTTCCTATCTCGGATGCACGCGGGGATAACAAGTGAGAGAAAATAAAGTAGTGAGAAATGAAGAAGACCTAGTAAAGTGTTTGATATTAACCGGACTATTTATGCGACAGCTGTTTCAACAGTTATGTGTACAGGACTATCCAACGCTTGTAGTAACAACGGTGTAGGGAAATCATCATTTAAATCATTTAAATCTAGGCTGGACTCGTGTATAAAGGAGAACGATAGATACAAAGTAAGAATAGATATGTGGAATGTTGAAATATTAACTGGTTCAAATAAAAAAATAGCTAAAATGTTAAAGAGGAAAAAAGTTTTTATTAGCTCTACACAGAAAACTAAAAAAAGGGGGAGAAAACAAGGGAAATAGTTTTAGTTTTAGTTATTATCGAGGTGGACAAAATGCCCATACACTCAGACCAGTTGGTCCATTTAGCTCATCTCATACCGAATTGTCTTGATTCGGTTTACCTACCTAAGTGTTATCATCAAAGTGTTAATACATTATCAACCATAAAGTCACCTCTAGATGACCAAAGAGTCCTGTCTTTCTGGCGAAATTAAATGTCTCTCTGGGTTTTAGGTTTTTAATATCTTTTTTTTTTTAGGAAAAGCTTTATTCAAATAGTTTGATTTTAGTGTGGACAAGGCTTCACATTCGCACATGATGTGAAATGAGTCTTCCTTCTCTTTATCCATACTCCCTGCACAATGGTGATTCCAATACCCCCATTGCGTTAAGATTTTTAAGCAGGTGACCATGGCCTGTCAGTAAACCAGTCAGGGTGCAGTCAGTCATTTGATGTCTAGTCATGCTATTAGGATCACCCAACAGTAGACCAGGGGTCTTGATAAACATTTTAGATTGTCTAGGTACTACCAAGTACTTCCAGATTTTCCTGTGTTGTTCTCTGCACCAATTCTTGGGTAACGCTTTGAGCGATTGCTCAGTGAGCCCTACCACTGGTTCTGGTCCAACATAGGTGTTCTCTGCTCCTTTCCTGGCTAGAAAGTCAGCATTCTCATTTCCAGTGACACCGTTGTGTCCCGGTACCCACGCTAGTGTAACTTTGTTGAACCTCGATAGTGATTCTAAAGTTTCCCTGCATTCGAGGACCAGCTTTGAATTCACCTGATCGTTACAGAGTGCTTTCAAAGCCGCTTGACTATCACTTAAGATAGTTATCTTCCTATTTTTGTATACCAGCAGGTTCTGAGCCCCTACCAGTATCGCCATCACCTCTGCTTGGAAAACAGAGGGTGTTGTGCCCAATGACATACTGACATTTATTCGTGGCTTTAAGCCCCAAATTCCAGCACCTNAAATTTATTCGTGGCTTTAAACCCCAAATTCAAGCACCTACCTTTCCTGATTTTTTGGATCCATCTGTATATATCACAAATCCTCTTTTTTCATTTAGATGGTTAATATTCCATTCTCTACGTGTAGTGATCTCCACTTTGTAGGGAATGTTATTCTTAAGAACCAGTTTGATATAGTCCAAGGGGTATTCCAAAAAGCCCTGGTCTATCTCTATTAGTATTTTACCATGTTCTGTTGTATCACTCTCCAAAGTCCACATACCTAAGTTGTGGAATCTTAGTGCTTCGGCTTTGGGGTGAGCTTTCACCTCTAAATGCAGTAGAGGCAATCCAATTAATGCCTCTAATGCGACCGTTGGTGTAGTTCTTAATGCTGTAGTGATGGCCATAGCATCATGTATGCGACTAAGTTCTTTCCTATCTGTATCGAGTGCTGTTCTGATCCACTTGACTAGGGCACCATACAATATCATAGGTTTAATCACTGATGTGTACAACCAGTACATAACTCTTGGTTTAAGACCCCATGTTTTTTCCAAGGCTCTACTGCAAGTCCACAATGTGGTCATTGCTTTTTTGATTCTTGACTCAACATGTCATTTCCATTGTAGCTTACTTTCTAAGATTAATACCTTAGTATTTTACTTCCGATTTTAAGTTAACTTCTTGTCCAATTAGAGTAAGAGTGTCAAAACTGTCTAGTCCTATTCTCCTTCTAGTGAACATAACAACCTCTCATTTACTTGGATTAACAGATCGTACTTACTACACCATATCTGTATAGTGTTAAGTCTTTGTTGTGCTAAGTCTATAATAGTGTCTGGGAATTTACCCACCACTGCTATAACTAAGTCATCCGCTTAGGCATCCTGCAGCTTTAAAACTGCCAAAGGCTTTTATTGCCCATCTTATTCCATTTGGGATTATCACTTTCCTGGTTAGTCTCCAATCAGCACAGGTCACACGTTTGTCCTGTGCATCATGTTCCTGTTCTTTGTTGTTAATTGCAGAGTCAGGAAAATGTGTGATTACCAAATGTGATAATGTTTTATAATCGTTATTGGTGTACATTCCGTCTGGCACTAGTATTACCTCGACAGTTTTGTTTGGTCCATTCCTTAGTGATCGCAGAAGTCTAGTTGCTATAGGGAGTTGTTGTATATCTCCACAGAACTTCTTCCAGCTTTCTCTTTTGGACTTTTTTACAGATTTGTAGTTCCTTTGGGCGTCCTTATATGATTCCCAGTGTTATTCCAAACTTGATTTCATTGCTTTATTTAAGAGCTTACGTTAACTCTTTCTTAATTTAGACAGATTAGCGTTCCACCAAGCTACACCCTGCTCTGTACCTTTCCTTTCTATTAAGGACAGTTTTCTTTGTAAGCCGAGACAATGTAGTCCTGTAGCATATTTATAGCCCTTTCAGTCCTCTGTCTCGACCCCAATCTAAACTGTAAGTTATTCAGGTCACGAGAGAGATCTGCCCTGTATTTGTCCCAGTTTGTTCTTTTCGGGTTCCTATAGTACTCCGCCTCAACTTTGTTAATTTCCAAAGTGAATCGTAAGTGCCTATGATCAGAAAGAGAAGGTTCGGAGGACACTTTCCACCCTTTTATCTTTTGAAGTAACCCTTTTGAACAAACTGTCAGATAATTGACTTCCTGCCTGTTCCTGATAACTAAAATAGGTTAACTACCACTATTCAGTATACTAAGGTCTGTAGTAGCAATAGATACATTATAACTTCTCCTCTTTGGTTGATGTTACTGCTCCCCCAAATAGTGTGGTGTGCTTTAGCATCCATACCTAGGAAATAAGTGAGGGCTTTAAAATAATATACTCGGATAAGTCCAATAAAAAGAGTAGTATAGGAAAAATTATGGATAAGGAGATGAAAAGTACAGTAGTATAAGTAGTTAGGAAAATGACTGTGTTAACGCTTTGATGGATTGTCTTATTGCTTGAAACGCTTAAGTATTTATCTATGTTTATAGTTGAGTTCTGATATAACGGACTTATTGCAGAGTCCATTTTTAGAGTGATTGACTCTGTAGAACTTAACTGTAAACATGAATACATCCTTAAGCACTTAATGCAACTAGTTACGAAAAGTGACATAATTATAGCCGTAAAATTGATTTTCGAGTGGTATTGATGAGAATCTAAGAAACACGTTTGAGTCCGGGTGGTTGAAGAGGAGAGGAGCGTTTGGTGTGTTTTGTGATAAGAGAAGTCCAATCAATCGTAGATAAAATGAAAGAAAATAATCTTAGATGGTTTGATCATGATATGAGGAGAGAAGAATAAGAAGCTATAAGAACAGTTATAGAAATGAATGTTGACAGAAGAAGAGGTAGAGGAAGACGAAAAAAAATAGAGGGATGTTATTGAATGTGATGTGATGTTGTACGTAGATATACAGTTATAGACATGAATGACCACAAGTAATACAATGAGATAAAGGCATGGAAAAAGAAGAAGTTCCGGCTATTTTATAAAACTTATTGCAAAATAATTTGTCAAAATATAGTGCTTATAGAGATAAAGTCACCAGAAATTTTTCTTTTTTGAGACTTGAAAGTACATTTAATAAGCTATAATTTCATATAGACTAGAAGGACACAAATATTCTGGAATCTTTTCAAAATTGGCTAACAAAATTATACTGTAATTTGTTACAATGTTACAAAACACAAAGTATAAGGTCACGTTTACTTAGGTTATTATTTTAATAAAATGCATACTGAAAAAAAGCTTACTATCATAAGTATATTATATTAAAATTTTAATAAGATCAATAAAAAAAACCCAGCACAGTGATGACGTGGCATAGTTGGATCAAGTATAATAATATCTCACAGTGATTAAAATCACTATATAAAAAACCCCCTTCGATGCAAATCTTTAAATAGTGCTTAATTTTAAAAAATTGGTGTATTATTCCAAAAGCTATATGATCTGCTAGTTCGTTATTATTATCCTGATTCAGATAAAGTATGTCGAATGAAAAAGGGATTATATTAAAAAATATTATTTCTCATAAAAAAATTATGTTGATCCATAAACTTTTCAATAATTTATAGCATTATAAAGTTAAAAATGTAAAAANTTATTATCCTGATTCAGATAAAGTATGTCGAATGAAAAAGGGATTATATTAAAAAATATTATTTCTCATAAAAAAATTATGTTGATCCATAAACTTTTCAATAATTTATAGCATTATAAAGTTAAAAATGTAAAAAGAAAAATCGAGAATTTTCACACAATAATAGCATTTGGTAGCCATTTTCACCGTGAAGAGAAAATAAAGTCCAAAATTTTTATTATGCATAATAAAATACATTATATTAGCTTTCATTTAAGATATATATAAAAGTGTCAGACTTTCCGGAACACTTTCAAAAATTAATTTAAAAAAGTAAATTTTTTGTGAAAAAGTTGTCATTTTGAATCCCCCCCTGTAGGCAGGTTAAGGGTTAAATTTATGAAAAAAATATACCACATGATAGATAAAGACATCAAGCATCTATAAAAAAAAGAAATTATATTGAAATGATCATTTTTGAAAAAGTTACCATTTACAGTGAAAGAGAGAAGTTTTTTCAAATTTTGAGGGTAATGTCTTCAACTAAATACGATTTCTGATCTTTTGACATATTTTTCATCAAAATCGGTTCAATGAGAGCTGAGATTGAGCATATAAAGACACAAAAATAACACATCATAGTAAAATTAATACCTTCTCAGCTTCGCATCTAAGCTAAAATAGCTACGACAATTTTAAAATTCAAAACCCAGCACAGTGGGGTCATGGCATAGTTGGGTCAAGTATAGATGATATCTGACAGTGATTAAAATCACTATCATAAAAACCAGCACAGTAAGGTCGTGGTATAGTTGGGTCCAGTATAGATGATATCTGACAGTGATTAAAATCACTATCATAATAAACGCTTCAATGCAAATTTGTAGATAGTGTTTAATTAAAAAAAAAAAATTTGTTAAACTAACATATTTTTGAATACGGTAGCCATTTGTGCATAGAAGATAGGTAGTCAGAACAAATTTTTTTATTTTATTTTATNCATTTTATAGTACATAAAATAAGCTTTAATTTGATATATGTTTAAAGGACGCAGTATTTCCGGAACATTTTCAAAAATTAAGTTGAAAAAGTTAATTTCCATAAAAAAGTTGCTACATTATTTGTGAGCAGGTTAAGTGTTAGATTTTCAAAAAAATTTATATCAAATGAAAGGGAAATATCTAAGGTTTCAATAAAAAAAAATATTATTTTTATTTGTTCATTTTTGAAAAAGTTATGGCAGTTTTAAGCAAAAAAAGTGAAAAAAATGACAAAATTTACCGATTTTTAAATTTGTAATTTTTTTGGATATTTCCCCAATTTTTGAGGAACGAGGGAATTTTTTTCAATTTTTAAGGGTAATGTCTCCAACTAGATACGATTTGTGATCTTTTGAAGTACTTTTGAAAGAAATCGGTCTAGTGAGAGCTGAGAAAAAGTGGCAACAGACATAAAAAAAATAAACATATCATAGTAAAATTAATACCTTCTCAGCTTCGCATCGAAGCTAAAATTATTTTTTGAAAATTAAATTTTTTACAATAGCATATATTTTTTTAAACATTTTTAAAACTGAATTTGCTTTTTAAATTTTATGTCTTTGAAAAATTCGATATTATTAAAATCTGGCTAAATAATTTGAATATGAGTTATTGAAGTTAAGTAATACTTTCAAAACATTATATATTAAGCAAATAAAATATCAATAAAATTATTACTATCAAATCCAATAGCAATTATTATAAATATAATATAATTAGACATATTTATAAAAAATAAATTATTTAAAAAGTCAACTAACTAAGTAAGACAGCCATGTGCAGTAGCATACATTATTATATTAAAACAATAATTTTGAACAGCTTCATAAATGGTATTTCTACTCCACGGGCATTTATTTTCATATGCGTATATTATACAACTTATTTGATTATTTGCAGCAGCAAGTCTTGTAGTACTTTCGTCCCATTCACATCCATTTTCATGAGCATATTTTAGGCAGTCTATATGCCCATTTGCAGCAGCTGCACTCTTTGTCCCTACATCCCATACACATCCATTTTCATGAGCATATATCAAACAGTCAATACAACCAATTGCAGCAGCTTCCCTTGTTGTGCCTTCATCCCATTCACAACCATTTTCATGAGCATATTTCAAGCAGTCTAAATGTTCATTTGCAGCAGCCCCTCTCGTAATACCTCTTTCCCAACCATATCCTTGTTCATAAGCATATTTTAAGCAATTTAAATTACCATAAACAGCAGCTGTGACTATTGTATCTACATCCCAATAACATCCATTTTCATGAGCATATTTTAAACAATCGAAACAACCATATGCTGCAGCAGCTCTCGTTGTTCCAATATCCCAATAACATCCATTCTTGTGAGCATATATTAAACAATCAAAATTACCATTTAAAGCTGCAGCTATAGTTGTGCCATCATCCCATTGGCATCCATTTATATGGGCATATATTAAACAATCTAAATGACCTTTTAAAGCTGCAACTCTAGTTATACCTTCATCCCATTTACATCCATTTTCATGAACATATTTTAAGCATTCTAAATTTCCATTTTCAGCAGCAACTTTTATAATTGTATCGTTCCACGGACATTCATTTTCATAGGCATATTTTAAGCATTCTATATTTCCATATTCAGCAGCAGCATTTGTTATTGTTTCGTTCCATGGACATTCATTTTCATGAGCATATTTTAAGCAGTCTAAAAAGCCATTGGCTGCAGCAGCTTTTGTTGTGTCTTCATCCCAATGACAGCCATTTTCATGAGCATAAATTAAGCATTCTAAATTGTCGGTACTTGCAGCGAATTCAGTAGTTAAATCACTCCATTTACATCTATTTTCGTGAGCATATATTAAGCAATCTAAATTACCATAAAGAGCAGCTGCTTCTGTTGTACCTTCTTTCCAATGGCATCCATTTTCATGAGCATACTTTAAACACTCTAAACAGCCACTTTCCGCAGCATCTTTAGTTGTTTCATCATCCCATTGGCATCCATTCTTATGGGCATATATTAAACAATCTAAATGGCCTTTGTAAGCAGCAGAACTAATTGTACCTTCTGACCACGCACATCCAATTTCATAAGCATATTTTAAAATATCTAAATCACCGTTATAAGCAGCTAATTCCGTTATTTTTTCATCCAATTCGCATTTATTTTCATATGCATATTTTAAGCAATCTAAATGACCATTTGTAGCAGCAGCTCTTGTTGTTTTTTTATCCCATCTACACCCATTTACATGAACATATTTTAATATTTCTAAATTACCACATTTTGCCGCTGCTTCGGCTGTGCTTTCATTCCATGGACATTTATTCTCGTGTGCATATTTTAAAATTTCTAAATTACCACTCATTGCAGCACCAATAGTTGTGCCCACATCCCACTGGCATCCATTCTTATGAGCATATTTTAAACAATCTAAACAACCACTTGCTGCAGAAGCTGTTGTTGTATCTACATCCCATTTACATCCTTTTTTATGAGCATATTTTAAGCAATCTAAACAGCCACTTGCTGCAGCACCTCTAGTTGTATATTCATTCCATTTACATCCATTTTCATGAGCATATTTTAGGCATTCTAAATGTCCATTTGCAGCAGCAGCTTCTGTTGTGCTTTCATCCCATGGACATCCATTTTTATGTGCGTATTTTAAAATTTCTAAATTACCACTCATGGCAGCACCAGTAGTTGTGCTTACATCCCATTTACATTCATTTTGGTGAGCATATACTAAACATTCCAAACTACCATTTTTTGCAGCTTCTCTTGTTGTTGTTTCATTCCATTTACATCCATTTTCATGAGCATATACTAAACATTCCAAACTACCACTTTTTGCAGCTTCTTTGGTTGTTGTTTCATTCCATCCACATCCATTTTCATGAGCGTATTTTAAGCATTCTAAATTTCCACTTGCAGCAGCAGCTTTTGTTGTATTTTTATTCCAAGTACATCCATTTTTATGAACATATTTTAAGTTTTCTAAATTACCATATTTTGCAGCTGCTTCTGCTGTGCTGTCATCCCACGGACATCCATTTTCATGAGCATATTTTAAACATTCAAAAAATCCATTTTCAGCAGCGTCTCTTGTTGTTTTTTGATTCCATTTACATTTATTTTTATGAGCATATATTAAGCATTCTAAATGCCCATTTGCAGCGGCAGCTCGTGTTGTTTTTTTATCCCATCTACAGCCATTTTTATGAGCATATTTTAAGCATTCTAAATTTCCATTGGCAGCGGCAGCTCTTGTTGTGTATTTATCCCATTTACATCCATTTTTATGAACATATTTTAAGTTTTCTAAATTACCATATTTTGCAGCTGCTTCTGCTGTGCTTTTATCCCATGGACATCCATTTTCATGTGCATATTTTAAACAATTGAAATGTCCATTTGCAGCAGCTTCAGTAGTTGTATATTTATCCCATTCACATCCTCTTTCGTGAGCTAGTTTTAATGTTTCTATGTCACCACTTGCAGCAGCTTTTTTCGTCGTACCTCTTTCAAACGGGCATATGATTGTATGTTCTGAATATCTATTTTCAATCCCTAAATGAGCAAAATTATTAATTAATTTTTGCTGAATAGAATTTTTTATTTAGCTTAGTAAAAAATAAAGAGGTTGGCAGTTTAATTAAAGTTTTTTGTTCCTAATACTTAAGTAAAGTAGTTTAAAGTGAAACTTCAATCATGATATGTATTATTGTTAGATATCTACGTTTTAGCTTCTTTTCAATTAATTATAAATATTTTTATAAATATTTTGTCATTATAAGAAAAAACAAGTTGGCAATATTTTAGAAAATATGTTAAAACTGTGCATTGCTAAAATTAAAAATTCAATAATTACTATCGATGTGATATTATTCTAGGTNAACAAAAAGTAAAAAAAAGTCAATGATTTCTTAATCATTATTAAAAAATTCATATAAATTCTAAGAAAATCCTACTTAAAATACTTCTAGCTTCAAAGTGAAGCTGAAAAAGTATAAACGATGCATCATTATATCATTAATTGTATCTAGCTTAAGACTTGAATCTCAAAATTGAAATAATTTCCCTCATTTCCTGTTAAAACAGAAAATCCCCAAATAATTATAATTTTTAAAATTGGTAAATTTAAACAAATTTAAAAATTTTTTAAATTAAAACTAACAGATGTTACTTAGATGGTGGTCTGATTCTCTGATTACTCCGATTCGGTCTGTCATGCTCAGACGCGATCACTCTCTTTTAAAGTTTATCAGCATACTCAATACAAATTAGCCAAATTGAGACATTGTTTTTCCTATCGAACTACACGCAAAAAGTGATTCGCCACGTCTACATTATAATTTTATAAGGACAAGGAACGTCTATTAATGTCAGAGATTTATTGGAAATGTCAAGGTAGGAACCTAAAAATTTTACCAAAGATACATAAGGTTTAGAATAAAATTTTATAAGTACTACATTAAGTAGGCACAAAGAAAAATAAAGTGATCATCAACAATAAAAAAAAACCAGCACAGGGGGGTCGCGGCACAGTCGTGACGTGGCATACTTGGATCAAGTAAAATGATATCTGACAGTGATTAAAATCACTATCAAAAAAAAAAAGCTTCGATGCAAATCTTTAGATAGTGTTTAATTTTAAAAAATTGGTGTATTATTCCAAAAGCTACATGAACTGCTAGTTCCTTATTAATATCCTGATTAAGATAAAGTATGTCGAATGAAAAAGAGATTATTTAAAAATGTTATTTCTCATAAAAAATTGTATTGATCCATACATTTTTTAAAAAGTTATAGCCTTTTAAAGTAAAAAATGTAAAATATAAAATCGAGAAATTTCACACAAAAATATCATTTGTTAGCCATATTCACCACGAAGACAAGTCCAGAGGTCAAATTTTTTTTTTTCATAATAAAGTACATTACATTAGCTTTAATTTAAGATATATATAAAAGTGTCAGACCTTCTGGAACATTTTCAAAAGTTAAGTTGAAAAAGTTAATGCTTTGTGAAAAAGTTGTCATTTTTAATCTCCACTATAGGCAATTAAAAGGATTAGATATATAAAAAAAATTTACTNCCACTATAGGCAATTAAAAGGGTTAGATATATAAAAAAAATTTACTAAATGATAGGTAAAGACATCAAGCATCTATAAAAAAAATTATATTAATATGTTTATTTTTGAAAAAGTTACGGCAGTTTTTAATAAAAAAATTTGAAAAAATTTCGAAAATTAGCGATTGTTAAATTTGTAATTTTTTTGGAGGTTTCCCCCATTTACGGTGAACGAGGGAAATTTTTAAAATTTTTAAGTGTAATGTCTTCGACTAGATACGATTTATGATCTTTTGACGTATCGTTGAAAGAAATCCGTTCGGGGAAAGCTGAGAAAAAGTGGTAACAGACACAAAAAAAAAACACATCTTAGTAAAACCAATACCTTCTCAACTTCGCATCGAAGCTAATATACCAAGTTAAACAAGTATTTTTTTGTGGCTTTTTGAGTTTAATATTTTTTATATTTTTGAGTTTTTAAATTAATAATATTTTTATATAGTTTTATATATTTTAGTATAGTAATAATTTTATTTAAATTATTAGCCACAAGTAATCAATTTTTATTAAATAATTATTTTAATAATAAAAATTAGTAATGTTTGTACAAAGTTATTTGTAAGAGTTATATCTTTGATACATGTCTATTTCAGGAGTTAAGAAAAAGGTTCATATAGCCATTGATCGGTAGCTTACGATATTTTAAACTTTGAATAAAAACACTTTATTTTTATTCTATAATATGGACTGTATTTTTTATTTTATATCTTTTACATTTTATATACGAAAAACTATAGGTGCGCGTAAGTGAGCCGGACTCATCATTCGCTGTCCGGTTTTCGACTAACTTACAAACAAAAACCTACGCTGCACCGCCCCCCACCTATTCTATAACAAATATATCTAGCGTTTTTTCCCCAATATCAAACAAACCGCCCACTTTGATTAACCAAAATCAATATAAAATTTATCTAACAAATCAAAAATATATATATATATATAAAACATAAAACAAATTGCAAAAACAAAAAAAAACTAACATTCTAAAATAACAAATGGATTACAAATATATTTAAATTGACAAACAATAAATTTTCAATAAATCAATCGATTTCAATTGGCAATGGACTTAAATTTCGAACTGCTCGTAAGTATTCACCAAAAGCGGTTTTTACCCTTGCTGTGCGTATCACGCCATCCTTACCACATATAACACTTACTACTCGGCCCAATCGCCAGAACAGTGGGCTGAGATTTTCTTCTTTTATTAAGACGACGGAACCCACTGACAGTTTAGGTCCCTTTTCTTTCGCCCATTTGTAGCGAGTTTGAAGTTGTGAAAGATACTCGCTACTCCAGCGTTTCCATATTTGTTGAGAAAACTTATTTACTCTACGCCAACGGTCTAATCGATTTGACGGAGTATCGCTTACGTCTCTCTCTGGTAATGTAGTCAATGCTTCACCAATTAAAAAATGACCAGGCGTTAGCACAGTTAAGTCGGTTGGACAAGAAGACAAAGGAGTGAGAGGACGTGAGTTCAGGCAAGCCTCAGCGCGCGTGAGCACGGTGTACATTTCGTCGAACGTTAAATGCGATTCGCCCAGTATTCTTTTTATGAGCCCTTTCATGCTTTTAACAGCAGACTCCCATAATCCCCCAAAATGTGGAGAGCGCGGAGGTATAAACTTCCACTCAATACGTTCATTTGTAAAATGCTCAAATAACTCCTTTTTATGCGCTTCTGAATGAAATAACTCATACACCTCTTTTAACTGACGATCTGTACCATGAAAGTTTGTGCCATTATCTGAATATATCACACTAATTTTTCCTCTCCTAGCCACAAACCTCTGTAATGCTTGTATAAAGTCCTGCGTACTTAATCCATTTACCAACTCAATATGTACGGCCTTAGTTGAAAAACACACAAACACACTAACATAAGCCTTTTTTAAAGGCGCATTTTTTCTTAAACTACTCTTTAACATCACTGGCCCCCAGAAATCTACTCCACTTATCTTAAAAGCTCGAGAAGGTTCTACTCTATCGCTTGGCAGGTCCCCCATTATGGGCTGCACCATGATGGGTCGTTGTCGAAATCAACGCAAACACTTGAATATAATTCCTCTAATTGTATTCCTTGCATTTAATGGCCAATATCTTTGCCTTATGGACGCTAAAACAGTTTGTGGACCGCTGTGACATAATCTTTCATGCTCATTTCTAAGTAACAATTTAGTAAACGTGCTCTTAGCCGGTATAATCAGTGGATGTTTTTGAAAGATCTCTAATGATGCTGCATTTTTTAATCTTCCGCCCACTCTAAGTAATCCACTTTTATCCAAGAACGGTTGTAGGCGAAAAAGTTTACTTTTTTGTGATACTTGACCATTTGGCCCTTTTAAACATTTTATTTCTTGAGAAAAATATTCATTTTGAACTATATGCACTAATGCCTTTTCAGCTCGTTCCACCTCGTGTACTAAAATAGGACCTGTCATTCTATTTAATGGTTTACCATTTAAATCTTTTTTTATACGATCTCTATATCGCAAACAATATGCAATAATACGCCATATTTTATTTAATGAGGAACATCGCGTTAATAACGAAAATTCAGACCTTGCAATACTTGACAATGCTTGAACACCTTTAGCTTCCACTTCCAATTCTTTATTATTTAATATTAGACTATCAGAATTAATAGGCCATTCATCTTCGCCTTTACTGAGCCATTCTGGACCACTCCACCATCGTTCATTTTGCACCAATTGCCTTGCCTCGCTACCACGCGATATAATATCCGCTGGGTTTTCTTCGCCCCTTACATGCGCCCACTCCGTCCGATCACTTAAACTTTGAATTTCGCCTACTCGATTTGCAACAAAAGTTTTCCATTGACTGGATGAGGACGCTATCCATGCTAATGTGACTCTAGAGTCAGACCAAAACATTTTCTTCTGGATATTTAAATTTAATTTTGGTATAAATTTATTAACGAGTCGCACTAACAATAACGCAGCACATAACTCCAAACGCGGTAATGTTATTGTTTTTAATGGCGCTACCTTGGACTTCGCGCCGATAAGGTGTACTGTACGATTTCCATTATTATTTGTGCATCGTAAATATATACATGCCCCGTAGGCCTTTAATGATGCGTCGGCAAACCCGTGTACCTGTATATTAGTACAATTATCTATTTCACCGCACCGTCTTGCTATCGATATGCTATTCAATAATAATAAATCGCCGCTATAACTACGCCACTCAT